GTTTTTCGCCTCAGTGTGCTAGTCGGGACGCCCCCCTGCCGACATCAAAGCCCTTTGTCGGCAGCCCCGGTAAACCTCATCCCACGAGGAATAACGGGGCTGCCGACAAAGGGCTTTGATGTCGGCAGGGGAGCGTCCAGACTAGCACACTGAGCAGACAAACAGCTGATCAGCTGTTTGTCGGCTCAGCGCGGCAGCCATATAAATTTAAATGAAGCCACGATCATTTAAATCGTGGCTTCATTTGCCTTTGCCTATGTGTCTAATCTACATGCCTCTGACGACAGAGGCATGTAGTCTAGACACACCCTAAATGTGCTAATGAGGGCCATCACTGATGCCCCAGAAACCTAATGGGTCACTACAACCAGTAAATGGACTTCTTTGTCTTATGAGCTCAGGCTATGGTTGGTCCCAGAAAGACATGTGTCCATGCCACCTGGGGCTGGAATCCATCTTGGACCTCGTATTTTCCATGGGGATGGGAGATGCAAAACTAAGGATTCCCATCCTGTGGGAAAGTCTATTTAAGCAATGGGAAGCAATTAGCCCTTTGTCTTCAGCCGGCCTTTGAAACTGCCTGGCCGTCCCTAAGAGGATACAAAAGAACTTTGAGGAAGCTGTAGACTCAAGTCAGAGTAAAAGAGCAACTCTGATTTGAAACTTTACCTGAAATAAGAAAAGCTGTTTAGGATACCAATTTGCATGCAACATGCTTCTTAGTGGATTAAAACTAGCTAAGCATATTTTTATTCATTTTAATTTAGTAACTTACTTTGATCTGTTTTCACTTGCAACTGCTTAAATCCTCCTTTTGTACTTAATAAAACACTTGTTTATTATCAGGCCAAGTGTAAATAATTGTTACCGGAGGGGCAGGGGGGAGAAAGCAACTGTGCATCTCTCTCTTTCATTGTTAGAGCTAACATTATGCGCTTTCTCTGTGTATAACTTTACAAAAAGGTAAGTGATTTATTTGGGGGTTTGGGTCCCATTTGATGGTCGGTTTCCTGGGTGCTGAGCCCTTAAAGCTTGGACTCTATTGGAGATGGACGGTTCAATGTCTGTTTCTCTGTAGGGGGGTGGTTACTCTAAATCGGAGTCTTGTCTGGGGGAAACCAGAGGTTCTGGCACAGTGGGAAAGAATGGTGGGGAGCCCCAGAGAACAGAAAAGTGGGTATCAGTTGCATGATCAGGACACCAGGGAAAATCCTATGGGGCTTCTGTGATCACACCCCATCACAAGTAGAGGAGCCTTTTTATTTTTAACTCCACAGGAGTATGGGGAGTTAAAAATGAAAAAGCTGAGTCTGGGGAGGACGAGACATCACCAGTGAGGAAACCCCCACTTGCCAACTGTGCAGCCTCCCAGCCAGGAGGGCTCTGAATATGGCCAGGGCATCTGTGTTGCCCCAGCAGACAGCCACTTTGAAGTTTTCAAACCTGCATGCCCCACAAGCCTGAATCCACCCCTGTGAAGAGGCCAGATACTGAGTGTGAGTAAGGAAATGGGAAGGCTTCTTCCTGGTCAGGTTCCTGCAGTGAAAGGTGCTAATCACTGATATTGAGAAAGCCACCAAGCCCCCTGGGCTGCCCATGTGACACTCCCTGCTCTCTGAGGCTGGTTCTTTGCTCTCAGGAGCCTTGAGGTGATGGAGGAAGTCAGGGTCAAGAAAACTCACCTGCTGGAATGAAGCCTCAATCAGGTTAGAAGGAAACATATTTCTGCAAGAGATGAATGAGATGGGAATGAAACAGCCACATGAGCTTGAAATTATAGATAATCGTAGAAACACGGAGTTAGAAGGGACTGCAAGAGCCATCGAGTCTAACCCCCTGCAACTGTAGAGCTTCTTCTCAGGATTAACAGTCACCACATTAAGACAAGTAAAGTACATTATGGCTCATGTCGTTTAGTTCTATTGAGTCTACTGCCCTCCTTCGAAGGTTCTATCAGAAACAGAAACAAGATTGAAAAATCAAGTGACAACACAGCTACTCAGCCCAAATGCAAAAGCGAACCCCAAGATGCAAAAACAAAGTTCCTACAGCTATTATATTTCTGAGAATCCATTTGTCACAGAATTTACTAAGTGTCTTACCTGGCTATTGAGCCTAATCCTGCCGTCTTTACTTAGGGAAAACTCCAGGTAACATGGATGGGAGATTTACGGGGTAAGGGTGGCAGAATTTGGCCCACAGATGTGCTCAACAATGCAAATTCAGCAGGGAGAAGGCAGCAGTGATATGAGGTAAATGAAACATCTCAAAAAATTGTCTGACTACAACATCCGTATCATCACATCCACCTTCATCTCTCTACAATGAAGAGGACAGCCATTAGGCTGTGTTTAGACTACATGCCTCTGTGGGCAGAGGCATGTAGATTAGACACATAGGCAAAGGCAAATGAAGCCGCGATTTAAATGATCGCGGCTTCATTTACATTTACATGGCTGCCGCGCTGAGCCGACAAACAGCTGATCAGCTGTTTGTCGGCTCAGCGCGGCAGCCATGTAAATGTAAATGAAGCCGCGATCATTTAAATCGCGGCTTCATTTGCCTTTGCCAAAACAACAAATCTACATGGCTCCATCGACGGAGCCATGTAGTCTAGACGTACCCTTATAGTCCCTGAAATTTAACCACCAGATAGTGATCAAACCAGCAAGGGCCTGCCATTGTAGTCCTCAGCAATGGAGATTATGTTAACAAGGCCAAGTGACAAATCCCTGATATCACTTTCTATAAAGAATCCAAAGAAGATCCTACACCACAATTCATCCAGGAACTTAAAGGCATCATCAAATCCTTCCTCAAACAATTCCAAGAGAAACTCTACAAACTCATCCCCATAAATGCACCCTAAGAGCCTTCTACATGCTTCCAAAGATACACAAACAAGAGAAGCCATGCAGACCAATGTGCCCTCTAAACTTTTCCATCCATGTGCAGATTTTTTCTATCCAGGTGCAGAATAGTTTTATGTTCTCTGTTGCAAGTGCAAATGTACACCACCAATCAAACTAACCACTCTGTTAATCTGCTGGGTAGCATTTGAATTCCTCTTGAGCAGCCATACAAATGCACATCTTAAATAAAACACTGAGGCAGACCCATAATATTTGGTCACAACACTCTTAGGCTACGTCTAGACTGGCATGATTTTCCGCAAATGCTTTTAACGGAAAAGTTTTCAGTTAAAAGCATTTGCAGAAAAGAGTGTCTAGATTGGCACGGACGCTTTTCCGCAAAAGCGTCCATGCCAATCTAGACGCAGTTTTGTGCAAGAAAGCCCCGATCGCCATTTTCGCCATCGGGGCTTTTTTGCGCAAAACAATACCGCGTTGTCTACACTGGCCCTCTTGCGCAAAAGCATTTGTGCAAGAGGGCTTTTGCCCGAACGGGAGCAGCATAGCATGTCCGCAAGAAGCACTGATTTCAGACAGTAGGAAGTCAGTGTTCTTGTGGAAATTCAAGTGGCCAGTGTAGACAGCTGGCAAGTTTTTTCGCAAAAGCAGCTGCTTCTGAGGAAAAACTTGCCAGTCTAGACGCAGCCTTAGGGTATGTCTAGACTGCATCCTTCTGTCGCTTTTTTTTACCTATCGCTTATAATCTCTTAAAATGTATCTTTTGATAAACAATATTATTGACTATTTTTGCCCTTGAGTTTGCCCCATGTGTTTGGCAAATCTGCCCAGGTTTCACCAGGGCTATGTATGCCCATTTTCCATAGATGAAGTGATGAACCAATTCATCAGTTAGATGGTGTGATGGGAACTGGGGGGGATTTTGCTGGTGCCTCTATCTGTATGATCCATGACTGACTCTAGGAGCATTCATGCAAACTTGCTGGGTATGAGATTTTTACATGGCTGTGCTGAGTGATAATAGTACCTGGAGGGGGTTGCTGTTGGCCACTAGTAAGGCACTGTGAGAGAGAGCTCAGGCTGAAAAGCATTAAGGGGTTCACAGCAGTCCTGTAGTCCCAGGCTACATCCTTGGTGTGACCCTCCCTTGGAGGTGTCCTGCTATTAGATGTTGATAGGCCAGTCATTAGGGCATTTCTTTGTCTTCCTGGAGGCTCTGTTGATTTGGGTCAGTTTCAGACAGTTCTTTAATAACTCAGCCCTTTTTCCTCCACAGACAGGGAGGTGGTGACAGAGGGGACCAGAAGCACACACAGGCCCCATAACAATATTACAGAAAATTCTTCCTTTATCACAATAGGTACCATAAAATGGGAACCACACAAGCCAGCATGCTAGGCATAGAATCACTTAAACTAGCCAATGGAAGATGCTAGCCAGTGTTGGGGAGATGCTCCTCTCAGAAACAGGTGCTGATCAGTGGCACCAGTTTAGTTATTTCTTGAGGCTAGAGCAGTGTGACGGGGTGTACTCACCCCACACTGGCCAAGGGGAAGCTATTCAGGCCTGCTGGGCTAAAAAGGCCCCTCCCCCACAGCCCGGCTGGGCATGTGTGGTGTAGTGTGGGGGCCTTGCTGCTTGCTATGCCATGATGGGCTGTGGGGGACATCCACTGGTGGCTATTTGTAGCATGGCCCAGCAGGATAGCAGACGAGTCACTAGGCAAGGGTCTCACAACCTGTCGGACCAGTTCCCTCCCAGGGAGAGAGACCAAGGAAAGAAGGGCCAACCCTGACTGGGGGGCAGGGCTGGAAGAGAGTTAGTTTCTGTCTGGGAAGCAGGGGAGAAGGGGCTAGGGAGGGGGCTGGGATTGTAGGGCACAGCCACCCCCCCATCTAAAGGGGGGGCCCTGAAGCCTCCTAGCCCCAGTTCCTGTGCCTGTATCTTGTATCTGTGCTGTATCTTGGAAAAGCAATAAACTCCCTCAATCATATTGGCTGGCAGAGTCTGTTCGTGCCACTACGGGGGTGCAGGAGAGGGGAAACCCCAACGCGCCGTCACAGCATGCTCCTCCTGGAGGCCCAGTATAAAGGCCGAAGGAGTAGCTCAGTTGGGGCGGACCTCCGGAGGGGGAGGAGCTCCTGCTGGAGCATGGGAGCAGCTGCTCTTGCTGCCAGAGCTCCAGCCACCGCACCAGCCGGAATGACAGCTGCAACCCCTGTGCTGACAGTAGCCGCCATGCCAACTACGGCCCGCCACCGCACTAGACCCTACGCTGTACACCGTAGCAGTATTCGTCCACACAGGTGGGGACTACGCCAGCCAGGAGAGTGGGGCAGGAAGCAGCCCTGGCAGACTCGGCGTGTTTTGGGGGGAACTCCCCACCGAGCCAGTGGTGGGAACCGCCAACCACTGATAGGGCCTGAGCTGGGGCCCAGTGGAGAGGGAGGGTCCTGGCCTCCCTACCCCACCACACCCTTACGCCCCTCAACAAGGGGCATTAGAGACTCAGCTGCTGGGCCAGACTGACCCCCAGACTGGGGGGGGAACTAGAGACACCGTGACAGGCCGATATCCCATTCTTGTTCCTGCCTGACCCCTTCCTCATGCTAGGACCTTAACTCGCAGTCTCCTCGCTGCTACTCCCACAGCTGCAGGAGTTGTGTTCCTCAAAACCTTGCGTTCATCAAATCCTTTCGCTCCCTTGGCAGAGGGGACCACTTCCGCCTCCTTCTCCAGCCAGATTTGCATGAGGCCTGATCTACAGGCCGATATCCCATTCTTGTTCCTGCCTGACCCCTTCCTCATGCTAGGACCTTAACTCGCAGTCTCCTCGCTGCTACTCCCACAGCTGCAGGAGTTGTGTTCCTCAAAACCTTGCGTTCATCAAATCCTTTCGCTCCCTTGGCAGAGGGGACCACTTCCGCCTCCTTCTCCAGCCAGATTTGCATGAGGCCTGATCTGGTAGGGATGTTCAGACTCCGTGCAGATCAGGCTCTGTACTTGACTTGCAAGGCTAAACACCATTCTCTCCCCAGTTCATGGCTTTTTCTGGGGCTTGGGCAGAAGACAGGCATCCAGATGCCTAGAGAGAGGAAGCAGCATGTACACCTCAGAGTCTAAAATGTAGGTATTGAAGAAACTTTGACAGCAGAAAGTTAGGTGCATTTAGGTAACAACAGGGATAGGCAATGCCAGGGAGGAAGTTCCATGGACCTCCATAGTTTAGATGCTTAACTCTGGGATTAAAGTATTTCTGTTGCTTCATGGATTGCAGCCAGATTCACTACTGGTATGACTGAAGTGACTGGAGATGTGCCCTGCAGGGCCGAATTTAACCAATTTCCTCTTCAATGTTCTCTGAGACATTAATTGTGATTAAAGCTCATTTACATTTTAAAGGTATTGGCGGTTGTGATGGAGATGAGGAGTGCTGGCCAGCACTTGCTGACTAAAGGGTTATACTCAGGTAGCTAAGGGTGTTGGCACGGAGCCAGAAGAACCAATGGGATACAATGCTGAAATCTAAATCGTAAATCGAAACCTGCAGCCTTGCTCTCTTCATGTGAGTTCTAAGTTAGGAGCTGGAGGAAGCAAGAGGAAGTAGTCAAACAGAATTACCATGCCTACAAGAAACATTGGGATGGGAATGGACTGAGCGTTGAAGTGGATCAGTATGGATCGTGACTAGATAGAGAAATGAATGTTTAGTTACGATCAGAGTATTTTTCTTTGTATTGTTGTTTGGTTAAACTTCTGTGTGAAATCCATGTGCCTCCTTCCCCCCGTTCACTGTACCTAAAGGCTATGTTTACACTGGCATGATTTTGCGCAAATACTTTTAACGCAAGAGTTTTTTACCTTAAAGTATTTGCACAAGAGAGGGTCTACACTGGCATGTGCCTTTGCGCAAGAGATGTGCTTTTGAACACTTGTGCAAGAGGGCTTATTCCTGAGCAGGAGCATCATAATTCTTGTGCAAGAAGCACTGATTTCGTACATTAGAACGTCAGTGTTCTTGAGCAAGAACTCGCGGCCAGTGTAGACAGGCGGCAAGTTTTTGCACTTGCGCAAAATCTTGCCAATGTAGACACAGCCAAAGTGTGTCAGAGATACCATTTGTTCTTTGTGTTTTAATCTACTCTTCTCAGTTGCTCTGTAACATCTAGCAACTAAGTATGCTTTATCAAATATATCTTTTTGTTTTGTTAATAAAATCACTCCTTTTAAGGTGATGATTTAATTCTTGTGTCCTGAAAAGTAACTGGAAGTCTGTGTGTGTACCTGCCTAGACTGAAGGGTCAGTTATTAGGTTACGTCTACATAGCAACATTATTTTGAAATAACTTAGTCTGCATCTACACAGCAAGCAGTTATTTCGAAATAATGTTGAAATACTGTCAAGCTGGAGGACTTCTTCCTCTGACTTTCCTTACTCCGAAAATAATGAAGCTACGTCTAGACTGGCATGATTTTGCGCAAATACTTTTAACGGAAAAGTTTTTCCGTTAAAAGTATTTGCTCAAGAGAGCGTCTATACTGGCATGTGCCTTTGCGCAAAAGCATCCATGCTAGTGTAGACGCTCTCTTGTGCAAGAAAGCTCAGATGGCCATTTTAGCCATTTGGCTTTCTTGCGCAAGAAATTAACTTGGCTGTCTACACTGGCTCTCTTGCACAAGAATACTTGCGCAAGAGGGCTTATCCCTGAGCGGGAGCATTGGAATATTTGCGCAAGAACCACTGATTTCATACAGTACAAAATCAGTGTTCTTGCACAAATACTCGTGGCCAGTGTAGACAGGCGGCAAGATTTTGCACAAAAGTGACCGCTTTTGCTCAAAATCTTGGCAGTCTAGATGCACCCTGAGGGTCACCAAAGTCAGAGGAAGAGTGCTTTGTTTCAAAATAAGTGCTGTGTAGAGGCTCCCAATTTCAAAATAAGCTATTTTGAAAGAAGCTAAGCAAGTGATGTAACTCAATTTGCGTAGCTTATTTCAAGTTAAGTCCTGCTGCATAGACGCACCTTTAGAGACTGTGTCTCCTGTGAATTCTTTTTCTTTTTTTCCCCCAGACCTCTTGTAATAAAAGAGCTTGGGATACCCCTTGGGAAGAAGTTCAAGTGTTTCTTCCTGGTTTTCAGGGTTTTAACCCTTGATGGTGGCAACCTGTCTCCCCGGCCCAAGGAATCTGTGACCTTCGGGAGTTTCTGTAAGCAGAAGCCGATAGAGGCAAGGTATTTTTAAGGTCTTTGGCATTCAGAGTGCTAGAGTGAGGAGCAGCCCTGACAGCTGTGAATAATAAAACAGGGCCCGTATTTATAAAATAGAATTACTCTTGAAGCTGCTACAAAGTACCTGATTAAATCCAGTAAGGCATCTGCAGAACTTAACACCACTTTGTTCACAGTATATTCCTCTTTTTGGGCAGCAGCACCTGGGTGAATGCTGATTACAAGCACAATCCCAACAGTCACAGCCATGAATGTCGTCCAAAGGTAATACGTGATTGTGATCAACCCCATTTTCCCACAAGCCTTGGAGTCCATGGTGGCCAAGCCAGACATCAGGCTGAAAGAAAAGAGAAAACACTCAGCAAACTCTCCCTGAACCGCACAAGACACGTCTCTGGCAGACCCACCCCATCACCAGCTCCACACAGAAGAGCCCATGCTAGCCCGGAGATCGGCAAGGTACTTGCCACCCACCAAACTCCTGAGTTCCAATACATTTAGGCTCATTGAGCACAGCCATCCGCTCAGTGCTCAGGGCTGGACATGGAATAAACAAAGTGTCAGCTTCCACTATGACAGCAATGGAGAACAATCCTGAAAGTAGCATTTTGCCAGCCCATCACATCAATCACTGAGAGTCTCCCACCTGGAATTCCATGTCCAGCTCTGGTCATGGCATTAGAAATGGGCAACAAAAATGGCTAGAGGAGAGGGCCTCAGATGAGAGCAATAAGCAGTGACATGACCGCAGATTAGATACAGTAACCCAGGAGTTCCTGGTTACCCTTTCAGATTTTCTAGCCTGTATTATGCAGGAGGTCAGACTATTTGATCATAATAGTCTGTTACTCATAAATGAGTCAGTTAGTGAAATTAAAAGGCAACACATTTTAAATGGATTTTTAAAATCCTATAGAACTAATTGGCACGAGATATCACTGATGCCTACAATTCAGTAGGATTAAAAATGGGATTTGACATTTAATGAATTATAGTGATGACTTTGTGGGAGCTTGGGGACTAGAGCACCCACAGAAAAAAGAGTGGGTGCTCAGCACCTCCTGGCAGCCCCCCAAACAGCTCCACAGGAAGCAACAGCCTGGACCACACCACTTCCCATAGTTCCCCTTGGCTGAAAATGGCAAACTGTATCCAATGGGAGCCATGAGGCTCCATGGTTGCGGAGCCGGTAAGTAAACAAACTGGAGTAGCCCGGTAGCAGCTCTCTCAGAGTGGGTCCGTGGACCACTGTGAGAAACACTGATCTAGGAGACTGCCAGACTCTTTCCTTCTAAAATCTCTTGACATCCAAAGGGAAAGGGATGTTGTTGTTCAAAGCCTTACTTTATACTTTATTTCAAAGGCTTTAGCTGCTCTCTCTTTCTCAATCTTTAATAAAAGGCTATAGAGATTTCTAGTGTTTGTGTCAGGGTACCAGGCCACTACTCAGAACCTCACTCTTTGTTTAAAATTTATTGTTGCACAGTGACAGGGTAAATTGAGCATCTTGGATTGTCTGGGTTCATTTATTCCACCAAAAGAAGCACAAAAGTTTCTTTCACCTTCTTCTGAGGCAGCTTATGCTTCTGGACAGGCTATCTGGAATGTCTATGTTACCTAGCTCTTCCTGGGTTACAGAAAAAAGTAACTTTTCTGAATTCTGCACAAGCCTTTCTTGAGCTCTTCCAGTGGGCTTATTTTCACATGTCCAAGTTCCTTGTACACTTAAGGCTGGTCTACACTGAAAAACTACATCTTCATAGTGACGTTTCTCTGGGGGTGTTTAAAATCCACACCCCTGAAAGACACTTAAATCAACAATCCTCCAGGGCAGGCAGTTATAGGTTGACAGAAAGATTCTTCCATCGCCCTAGCTGCTCTCTCTCAGGGAGGTGGATTACCTACAATGATAGGAGAACCTCTTTCAACACTGTGGCTACATTAAGGCCAAATCTACAGTGGCAGAGAAAATTGGTGCATGATATACAATTGTGTTTCTGGAGCTGATGTTTCTTGCACCGATTTTCTGGGGCAGCTTCACAGCGATGGAAGAAATGCTCAATGGAAGAAACGCTCCTGTCACCTTCCCTTACTCCTCACTATTGCAAGGAGTACCAGCAACCAATGGGGGCACCCTCAGCATTCAGTTTAGCCTTACTGAAGCACTACAGTGGTGCAGACATGGCCTCCTGAGGTCTACACTATCACTTATATTGCTCAGGGCTATGAAAAAACACCAAGGAACATAAGTTTCACTGGCTGTAACCGTACCCTCATGGGTATTAACTGAGAACACCAAATTCAGGTCACACTGTTGAGAAATGGGGCAGACACACCCCAAAGCTGGAGGTTATACTCCCAAAAGATATATCAAACTAGCTACATAGGTATCATCTATCTCACCACATTGGCTAACAAGAACTCATAGAAGCAATTTCCTGAAGCATTTCAGCCTTTGGCTTCATCTACACTACAACAGAAAGTCTACTTAAGCTATGCAACTCCAGCTACATGAATAACACAGCTGGAGTCAATGTACCTTAAACTGAGTTAGTGTGGGCTCTCGACTTGAAAGGGTCGATGGAGAGAAACTCTCCTGTCGACTTCCCTTACTCTACCCTGAGCAAGAAGAGTAACAAGGTCAACATATACATGAGAGATACAGCCAGGTTAACTAGAGATATAAATAGCAGAGAGAAAAATGGGAAATTGTTTTTTATTAGCCAAATTTATGAAGCTACTCACTCATCTTGATGACATTGATGACACAATTTAAATACCAAAAGGCTTAATATGAGTATTTCAAGTGGTAACAAAAGTAGGTAGCCACTTTAATATACATTAATGTTTTGCATAGGCTTTGCAATGAGTTTGATTAAGGTTTAACAAGGTTAAGCAACGAGAGTTAGCAAGAGCTTAACTGTATTTGTGTTGGAAATGTATTGACACAAATAGTTTGGGGCAATGTTTGGAATCTCATTTATGTTTTGACAGACAGCCTAGGTGGACAAGGGGCTAAAAACAAAGTTAAATATGGTCCTCCCGAGGTCTCTTCCAACCATATGATTCTATGGTTCCAGACATTCGGGTGTACAAAAAAAAAGGGGGGGGATAAAATAACATGCCCACCTTGTAGTTGGGCTCATTATCATAATAAGCAAGTTGAAGCTCAAAGATCATTTCCATTTGTGAAGATCTCCACTTTTTCTTCTGCCTTCCCACTATGAGGTTGCCAGACACTATGAGGTTGTAAGCATGTCACCACTGAGAATTGTTCATTTGTTTCGGTCTTCACCGAGAAGTCTGGAGGTGTGCCTAACGTAGTGAATACAAGCAGAGAGAGGGTAAGTTTAGAAGATAGGATACACAAAGAACAAGTTAAAAATCACTTAGGAAAGTTAGATGTCAGCAAGTCACCAGGTCCTGATGAAATGCATCCCAGGATACTCAAGGAGCTGATAGAGGAGGTATCTGAGCCTTTAGCTATGATCTTTGAAAAATCATGGCAGACAGGGGAGATTCCAGAAGACTGGAAAAGGGCAAATATTGTGCCCATCTATAAAAAGGGGAATAAGAACAACCCAGGAAATTATAGACCGGTCAGTTTAACGTCTGTCCCAGGGAAGATAATGGAGCAGGTAATTAAGGAAATCATATGCAAACACTTGGAAGGTAATAAAGTGATAGGGAATAGCCAGCATGGGTTTGTGAAGAACAAGTCATGCCAAACTAATCTGATAGCTTTCTTTGATAGGATAACGAGCCTTGTGGATAAGGGAGAAGCGGTGGATGTCATATACCTAGACTTTAGTAAGGCATTTGATACGGTCTCGCATGATATTCTTATTGATAAACTAGGCAAATATAACTTAGATAGGGCCACGATAAGGTGGGTGCATAATTGGCTGGATAACCGTAGTCAGAGAGTTGTTGTTAACGGTTCTAAATCCTGCTGGAAAGGGATAACAAGTGGAGTTCCTCAAGGGTCTGTTTTGGGACCCGTACTGTTCAATATCTTCATCAATGATGTAGATATTGGGATAGAGAGTACTCTTATTAAGTTTGCAGATGATACCAAACTGGGTGGGGTTGCAACTTCTTTGGAGGATAGGGACATAATTCAAAATGACCTTAGCAAGTTAGAGAAATGGTCAGAGGTAAACAGGATGAGGTTTAATAAGGAGAAATGCAGAGTGCTCCACTTAGGAAGGAACAATCAGTTCCATACATACAAGATGGGAAGCGACTGTCTAGGAAGGAGCATGGCGGAAAGGGATCTAGGGGTCATAGTGGACCACAAGTTGAATATGAGTCAACAGTGTGATGCTGTTGCAAAAAAAGCAAATATGATTCTAGGTTGTATCAACAGGTGTGTTGTAAGCAAAACTCGTGAAGTCATTCTGCCGCTCTACTCTGCACTAGTTAGGCCTCAGCTGGAGTACTGTGTCCAGTTCTGGGTGCCACATTTCAAGAAAGATGTGGAGAAATTGGAAAGGGTACAGAGAAGAGTGACAAGAATGATTAAAGGTCTAGAGAAGCCTATGAAGCCAGGCTTCATGAACTGGGCTTGTTTAGTTTGGAAAAAAGAAGATTAAGGGGGGACATGATAGTGGTTTTCAAATATCTAAAAGGGTGTCACAAGGAGGAAGGTGAAAATTTGTTCCTCTTGGTTTCTGAGGACAGGACAAGGAGTAATGGGCTTAAAGTGCAGCAGGGGAGGTTTAGATTGGACATTAGGAAAAAATTCCTAACTGTCAGGGTGGTCAAATATTGGAATAAATTGCCAAGGGAGGTGGTGGAATCTCCCTCTCTGGAGATATTTAAGAACAGGTTAGATAGTCATCTGTCAGGGATGGTGTAGACGGAGCTTGGTCCTGCCTTGAGGGCGGGGGGCTGGACTCGATGACCTCTTGAGGTCCCTTCCAGTACTATTATTCTATGATTCTATGATATAGTGGTCATAGTGGACTATGCGACGCGCTGCCCCGAGGCCATTCCCTTACGGAAAGCGACTGTCCCAGTGATAGCCGAAGAATTAGTGAAATTGTTCTCCTGGGTCGGATTGCCTAAAGAATTGCTAACTGACCAAGGTACACATTTGACCTCAAAAGTGATGACCGATTTGTGCAAAGTACTGCAGATTCGAAAACTGCGGACGTTTGTATACCATCCCCAGACAGACGGTGTCGTGGAGCAATTCAACCGAACCCTGAAGGGAGTGTTGCGCAAGTTCGTCCAAGATGACCCCCGTGACTGGGACAAGCTGTTACCCGCTTTGATGTTTGCAATACGCGTGATACCCCAAGCGTCATTAGGATATTCCCCCTTCGAGCTGTT